ATGGCAAGGAGGGTTTCCTCAATGGGGGCTCGACCGACAAAGTCGACTAATGAGACAAATGTACAGTTAGGGTGTTTGGCTACGTGGTTCTTATAATTTTTGTTTCCACTGTATTTGATTGATGCTGCTTTCCTTTCGTGCGTCTGTTCGATCAATCCTGTCTCAGTTGAATTTCTTGCATGTCAAACCAAGGGGTTTTTTTTGAAGCACATATCTTATCCCATTTCTTTTCGGCCTTCCCACGATTTTTGGAGTCTTGGCGTATTAGCCCAGGAGCCGTTAGGCTTCCTAGTATTAAGTCAATAAACGCATTAATATCTTATTGGTTTCTCCTGTCGACAAGCTGTAAAACGAAAAATGAATGGATTGGAAGCTGAATTCTCAAATAAAACTATTTACTTCATCGTTGACTTGGTCGATATAAACTCATACTTGCACGAAAACAATTACGCCTCCTCTGATTGGCCACTGGCTTTGTAGTCACGTGCTAACTCGGGCACTCCCGGTTTTCGTCGACCACCAGGTGCCAGCTCCTGTCTCCTAGCAATTGTCCCACCAAATCACTCCGGTGTAATTCAAAATGGTAGGTGTTTTCATACCCAAAATCCGAGAAACCCTCGCATTCTATTCCGAAGTTCCCTGCCTACTCGGCCGTGCTCCGGGTAGAGGACAATCGGGCCATGAGTGTCACAACCGGCTTCCGAGCCGCGGGATGAGACGAGATACAAGATGTCACGTCAATTGCTAACACATGTCCTATAGTTCGCCTCTACTGCTCGCCGCGCCGCGGCCCAGGCCTCCGCCTATGCGCCCAAGTGAGACTTACCCCATATCATTTCCCTCGAACCCCGAACAGTACACATTGGTCGGCAATCAGCATGTTAGACGGAGCGAATGAAGCATGGATATGAGCTGGTCAACGCATATTTCCCAGTCGATATGATGCCCGTCTTTACTCTCTCGCAGCGGAGCTTGACGGGTGTCTGGCATCTGTGGGGAGCGGGGGATTACAAGACCGTGACAAAAGAGCTGGATATCGAAGAAGGCATATCAAACAGACAACGAGAACACTGAGCTAACGCCTCACTAATCTGCAGGTACTACATTCCCCGCACTGCCGCTGGTATGACCCTTGGCACAGCCGTCCAGCTGTAAGTACCTCCCGCATTCAACTATCCCGGGTTAGACAAGACATGGGGGCTAATGACGTTCTGAACAGTGGCTCTGTCGCTGCTGGCTTCGGTGTTGCCCTTGGCTCCGGTGCCCTCTTCATCTTCGGCGAGGTTCCCCGTGTGCGCAACGACATCCTCCGCAAGCTTCCTTTCTTCGATAACTACTACGACCGCACCATCGCCCCTGAGGACAACGTGAGTCGATTGAACATGATTTGGGGGTTTCGATTCGATGCTGACTTTCTTCTAGCCCTTCTAAATTATTCGCCAAGGTATATACCTGTCTCCTCTTTGATCGATATGAATCGAGGCTCTCGGGGGCCAGGCTGGGGCTGTACTGTGTAGAATAGCGATGAAAGTCTTTTCTGTTTTTAATACCACATAGAAACAGTTGTTTCCAAGTAAATGTGTCCTTCATGATCCTCGTGTGGGATTGTACACTATCGATATACGCCCTTCCCTTCCCTTCATGATAGGGCCGAGAAACCTATGCTTCTACCAGCAGACTGCGAAACCGAGCTTTTTTTTACGTTACTTGCGAGGACTGGATCATCTTACGAAGTCCACTAGAAACATTCCAGGTAACTCTCTTCCCAGGCTTCGATCGTCTCGTCCTTTGAGAGTGCTCGCGGCCAGGCTCTGCTCTTCTCTCCCTGGGCCTCATAACAAGAAGTCGATGTTGTTTTCCATATATCTACTAAATATAGCCCCTGCTTGTCAAATTCCATACACCAGTACAAAGCGTGTTCATACATTCATCCTCTTGGTACTGAAACCCTGGGACGGCTCAAACAACCAGGGCCATTCCCACTACTACGCGGAGCAGTCCCAGCACGCGTACAATGACAACACATCTCACTAGAATGACGAGACCAGGAGCAGGCCAATGTTCTGCGGCGTTGAGGGGTGCTATCGAGGGGTGTTAGTCACCGTTTGAAAAGTTTGGTGTAGGATTGGCATTCGATGGATCCTGTCGACACTATAGCCGTCCAACCAATACCTGAATCGATCAGCTCTTGCATGATTAAAAACATCCAAGGTTCAGTTCCGCACATGACCAATAATGAGAATTGTATGTACTTGGCAAAGTCAGTGGGACCGGCCCAGGGAGGTCCAGTTAACAACCTTGGAATATCGTGGCTCGGTTAGCTGCCACCCGGTTGCTTTAAACAAGCTTAAACAAGAGCGGAATCGGAACCAATTCTCTGCCGAGTCTATAGTCCGGTAAGTTCGAATGACCGTCGCCCGGGTGCTTGAAGCTCTCGCTTCTGATTTCCAATACCATGGATATAGCTCGGGAGTATAAAAAGGAAAAGCCTGTCTAGAGGTTGATAATATATTGCAACAGCTCAACTAATTATATTTCATTTACACTCTTCTCAAGATCAAGGTTATCATCGCAGGCGCCACAGGTTTCATTGTCAGCCATATCCTATCAGAATGCATTGCCTCACCTGATATTTCGTCCATTATAATATTGACTAGGCGGTCAATCAATGATGGAAAAGATCTCAAGGGTAATTCCAAAGTCACGGATATAATCCATGATGATTTTAGCAAGTATCAGTCAAATTTGATAGATCAATTGAAGGGCGCCGAGGCGTGTATTTGGTGAGTAGTGTTCCATATAGCTACTGTTGTACTAAGACTGATATCATCTCAAGGGCTACTGGGGGCAGACCGGTCCGGTTTCCTGACCTGGATACTGCCAAACGAGTCGGTATCGATTATACCGTGGCTGGTGCTGAAGCAATCAATAAATACCTTGCGACTTCGTCCGGTGCTAGCAATAATCAATAACGTCCATTTCGTTTCGTGTACTGCAGTGGATGGGGGCTGAGGGGGACCAAAGTAAGAAGTTATGGATTGAGCCTGAAGCGAGGAAGATCAAGGTTAGTAGCCCCTAATTCTTTCGCATTCTATTGTCTCACTGAGAATATGGTCTTGTGGAGAAACACCTCGTGGATATTGCCAAGTCGAATCCTGCTTTTGAGTTCTACAGCCTACGACCTGGCGGCGTGATGGATGGTTCAAATATCTCTTATTATCTTGCAGCGACGATATCACCTGCCGTTAGGGTGAATGATCTTGCTGGAGCTTTTGTGAGAGTTGCAACAAAGGGCTACTCAAAACAGATCGTCGAGAATGCGGAGATTGTGAAGATGGTTACATGATTGAATGCGAAGGTACATAGTGAGTTAACTTGACTCATCGTCTACTTTTTATGAGGCTGGAGCATCTATTTAGTATTGAATGTGAAACTGACGGCGGACTAGCCATGCGAAAGCCATATTCTAAACTCGAGTTGGCCTTTCAGAGAATCAAGTTGACTGGTGGAATTGTATCTAACGAGATGTATTCGCAGTAACGGAATAAGATATAAAGTAAAAGGCGCTTAGATAGGTAGAAGGTGCGTAAGTTATTAAATGTGTAGATTAGGAAACGGCCTGCTTCTATGTCTAAGATCTTGTAAGCTCGAGACGTTCTTAGTTAGAAAATAGAAGGAACCTTTTTCCTAAGCATCATCTAACGGGTGAAGCTCTCGGCTCTTTCCTACGCCCTATAGTTAGTTATAGTGCATTTTCTTAATAAGATGGAGTACTCCAGAAAATAAGGATAGAAGGAATGCTATGCACGAACTAACTATCTTAGTATGTGCGACCCTATAGGGAGTAGCTAATCCACTCTGGGCATAGTCTGCGGTAGGCTAAGTGCCCCGGAGTTCCAAGGTTGCCCACTAATTGAACACTAACTGAGCACCCCCGAGGCCAACATCCAGGACTTGCAATGAGCATTGACCAAACATCAATCACTCCACACGTGACTGACATGGGTATGCTCTCCAAGTCTGATCCCGGGCTGACATCTACTCAATGAGCCTGAGCGCCCTCGTAAAAGCAGCGGCAGCTTAGAAAGGAAGCCCCGGCCAGGGAAAATCCGGCACGTATACGGAGTAGTTGCATATATATACAAGAGCCCTGGAAATAAGGATCCTGCAGCTTTAATCCAAAGTCTATTTTTCCCAACAAGGCAGGTACATCCTTAGATAACAACAAAATGATAACAGCAACTCTGGGGTTACGGACACGAGGCAAGCCCTTATCTCTGTTATCACAATGATAACCACATCTGCTGCAGCTAACTTTCTCTCACACCAGAAGTCCCCGTGAAAACGCCTAGAGTTTCCTTACTGGGACTAGATTTCTCTCTACTAAGGTCGTAGCATCGATCGTCGAAGCCCTATACATCGAATGAGCGGTAGCATCTCCCATCTCTACAAATCACAAGCTTGCGGAGTGACGCGATTCACATACTTAAATAAGACATCTGTTTATTCTATAGTCTAATATATGAATTTTAATTTATCAATATCTATTGTCGTTTGCTCTTATCGCGCCTCTTTGTAAGGTGTTCATTGCGGAGAGTCTGCATTCCATTTTTCCATTGGGCGTTTCCCCCTCACTTGCCACCGGCGTTCGTCGCACAATGAGGTCGAGTCATCCGATATCTATTATTCTAAGTTCGGCCTGGGTCTATCCCGGATCGTTTAGGAGCCCATGTCTAGTTGGTTCTTGCGATCGTCAATGCGTGGGGTGAAAGGCAAACTGCCCCGTGCTATGCATAGATAAGATGATGGCACCCCCTGCCGGCTTGGTTTAAAAATCATAACCCTGGGCTCTTTTATTATATTCCGATCTCCCTTGGCTGTTGCTTCAAGGTGAAGACATTCTTGTTCAACTCTTATATGGTTGTCATTTTATTTCGTTAATATATATATCGCATACATTAATAGCGGCACGCCCGTTTATCTTGGTCATGGGCGCAAGCATGGAGACTAAAACCCTTGTTTCAGACATCTCCAAAGGCCAGCACGAGGCGAACAATGCTCAAGTCACTTCCGTACTTCCGGATGGCGATGTGCCATATACGGACCATGATATGGATGCCGATGAGAGGGTGATCACTGCGTTGGGTTACAAGCAAGAGTTCAAGCGCGAGTTCTCGCTATGGACGACTTTTTGCGTCAGTTTTGCTGTTCTGGGGTTGCTACCATCATTTGCGAGTACCCTGTATTATGGTGAGTATTCACGGACCCGTGTCTGTAAGATTTGGTACAAGGGATAGCTGACATTAAATTGCAGGAATGGGATACGCCGGAACAGCGGGTATGGTCTGGGGCTGGATCATTGCCATGATATTTATCCAGTGCATTGCAATGTCAATGGCAGAGCTATGTTCAGCAATGCCGACTAGGTATGACACACTCCCCGACATCACATTCAAGAAGCTAGCGTTCAGGGAAGACTAATGTGTTCTACAGCGGCGGACTATACTACGCCGCAGCAGTCCTCGCACCCCCGGGCTACGGACCCTTCGCCGCCTGGATCACCGGCTGGTCCAACTGGATCGGACAAATCACCGCAGCGCCATCAGTCAACTACTCGCTCAGCGCAATGATCCTCGCAGCAGTCTCAGTCTACAACCCATCCTACACCCCGACAACATGGCAGACCTTCCTGCTGACAACCCTCATAATGATCCTGCACGCCGGAATCAGCAGCATGTCCACAAAGCGCGTAGCACAGTTCAACTCATGGGGCTCGATATTCAACTTTATCGCGCTGATCACAGTCCTCATCATGATCCCCGCAAACACCAAAAACAGCCCGAAATTCACACCCTCCAAACAAGTCTGGGGCGACATAACAAACCTAACTGACTTCCCGGACGGCGTCGCCGTGCTCATGACCTTCGTCGGCGTGATCTGGACGATGTCCGGCTACGATTCGCCGTTCCATTTGAGCGAGGAGTGCTCAAACGCGAACATCGCCTCGCCGCGCGCAATCGTGCTCACCTCCGGCGTGGGCGGGTTGATGGGCTGGTTCCTACAATTGGTCGTTGCATACACAGTGCTGGATATCGAGGCCGTTATTGATTCCGATCTGGGACAGCCCTGGGCGTCGTATTTGCTGCAGGTCATGCCGCAGAAGTCGGCTATGGCTATCTTGGCTTTGACGATTGTCTGTGGGTTTTCGATGGGTCAGGGATGTATGGTTGCCGCGTCGCGGGTTACGTATGCTTATGCTCGTGACGACTGCTTTCCGTACTCGGATTACTGGAAGCAGGTGCATCCGTATACGCAGACGCCCATTAATGCGGTTGTATTGAACGCCATCCTCGGCATCTTAATGTGTCTCCTCATTCTAGCTGGAGACGTGGCAATCGGCGCTTTGTTCTCTATTGGTGCCATTGCGCAATTCTTTGCTTTTGCTATTCCTATCATGATTCGGGTGTTCTTTGTCGGTAATCGGTTCCGCAAGGGCCCCTGGCATCTGGGTCCCTTTGGTCCGTTTATCGGTGGCGTCGGCGTTGTCTTTGTGCTTTTGATGATCCCGATCTTGTGTTTGCCTAGTGTTACTGGTAAGGACCTGACGCCTGATCAAATGAATTGGACTTGCCTTGTTTGGGGTGCGCCGATGGTGGCGGTTACGATTTGGTGGGTTGTTGATGCCCATCGCTGGTTCAAAGGTCCTGTGGTCAATGTCGAGCATGCTATTCATGCGATTGAGCAGGAGCCGGTCGTCAGTGAGGGCATTGAGCCGGAGTCTCGAGAGACTGAGGCAACTGCTTTATCCAAGACGGATGATCCAGATAATCCTATCTAGACATCCAAGTTTGAGGAGAAGTCATTGTATGAATTTGGGATTTAAGAATTGATGTTTAAATGTATGTTGCTACTATATAACTTAATATTATACAACAAGTCATAGCCACCTCTTGGAGGGCTGTCGCACGTTATTACATTTCCAAAGCATCCTTTTCGTGTCTTTGTTTGACACCTTCAATCTTCCGTGGGAGCATATGGATACCAGAAACCACCAACCAAAGAGCCCTGGGACTCTCGATTCAATGTAGGCAAGATGAAAATATCTATATCTCCATGCGGAGAATTCTATCTGTAAATAGTATTGGTGGCCGCAGATGAATCCACCAGCAAGAATGTAAGCATTCGCCACCTGCATGTCAGAAAGCACAACATAGATCTGGCTCCATAAAATGGACCGATCTGACAGCGTCATATGGAGCCTGCCCCAGTGCCCCTCCTGGCCTGGTTTAGGCTACGTGGTGTGACGGAGAGTATGGAGCAAACCCACTGCTCCACCAGTTCCATATGGCTGAGATAAGGTTGACTGTATGGGAGCTGTATGATATTTTGCTGCGGGCGAAATTGATTTTCGATTTTATATCCATGTACAATCTATGTATATGCGATTGGAGAGTTTGAGGAATAATTGTTACTTTTGCATATATACAAATGCATTAGGGTTAGTCAAGGATGGAGACTTCGTATAGAGCACGTCATATTCCACCACAGAGATACTAAAGTCATTCGTATTCAAAGAAAAAGCAAGAGCTTAGTATGCAGAACATATATACCGCAGAACCACCATGTAAATTGCTGATCGTCTCTTGACTGCGCTTTGTATACGGTACCTCCACGTGAAGGGAGAATCTACACCACTTGCCCTTCTAAGAAGGTACCAAACAAACCAATCAATGCCTAGACCCCAAGAGCAAGCCCAGACACCAAGCCAACTATTTTAAACGCAACTCAATCCCCAAAGTACGGAAATCAAGCAACCACCTCCCCCCAATGGCTGAGTACCTTGTACAACGTGCCTTGCGCTGGGATCCCGGGAGAATCCTGTAAGCTCCACCACCCCCCTGAGACCCCACCGGCGGTGGTGGACACTGAACATGGATGCAACGGAGAAAAACAAAAAAAGAGTTGGAACAGAGATATGCTTAATCTGACTCCAGATGAGGGGGGGGCAACCCACACCCCCCTTAACACAAGGAGCCATCTACTAACAATAGGGGGTCCCACTTGTATACTACCAATTTCGACCATTTCCCGGATATACATTTCCACAACATAAAATCTTCTATAGTGTTCAATAGTAAGCAGTATTCATCATATTGAACCTTGGAGAGCATATAGTCACGATACATCATTTTCTCAAAAGTCAAAAACCTCGGGGAATCTAAGGAGAAAAACAAAACCTAAAGCGCCTCCAACCACAAGAACCGGGACAAGAATGCGAAAACCAAAAAAAAATAAAAAAACGTGTTGGGGTGGCCCTTGTTGTACGGAGTACGGAGTACAGCCCCTCTTGTCCACCAGCCCGCTCCCGTCCGGGCTGATTGCACGCAGTCCCGATCGTCACTGTCAGGGGTTGAGGAGGAAGAATGGCCCAGGAACAGTTTGGGATCGGCAACTGGGTCTACGTCATGACGAATCTGAATGGTTTTTGAAGAAAGTTGAATCCCATGGATATCTTGAGGTTCCTGAATTTGAGTGGACCGTTTGGAGTTCCTCTTTTTGGTTCTTTGACAGATCTGGCGGTCTGAACCGTGGACCCTAAACAGGAAAAAAGAGAAGTCAGCAGAAAGTTCCAAGGTTGCGGGCAAGTGGCTGTTTTTGGGTCGGGGGTGAGCCGAGTCTACCGCCGTATTGTACGTTACAATTTCCTAATCAGGACCGTTTTGCCTTTTTTCCATTACAACCTAGGTCTTTTCTTTTCTTTTTTTTCCCTTTTTCTTGGGGCTTTGTATTATTTGAGGATTTAATATAAATGCTTCGGTCCGATGGGCTGCATTATACGCTCAATTTATGCAAGTTCTAATAAAATGGTTTGTTCAAGCATTCCTCAAGGTTACACTGCAAACAGATGATTCGGCCCGACCATGGGTCTGTATATCGAAGAATCCAAGGCTCAGTATATTGAACTTGCCTTCAAATGTGACTTTGATTATTTCATCAGTGGTAGCGAGGTGAGTGTCAGATATTAATAGGAGGCGAATCATATATCTGTAGTCATCCTAATATCCTAATATCGAATTATATCCGAAACCCATGACGCGGCCAGGTGAGAAGTTCACTGGTACACGTTGATTCCCAAGGCTAAGGTAAGGCAATTACGATATGGAACATTGAAGAATAGAATAGCGAACTTCGTTCCTGAGCTATCGTGAGCCACCACCCCCATAACCCCCAGAACCCCCATGTTGTACAAAATGGATTCCGATCCACACAACACATGGGAAAATGGAGAAAGATGGAGAATTGGATGGGACTGTAACCACTATTTTGACATCGACAACTCCAAAGTCAATTTCAAAGTCAACATCAAACCTTCAATCTCATACAAATACGACATCCCAATACGTCTACAACCGATTAAAAATAAAAGAAATGCAAGTCAGATCCTCTCCGAGGACCTTGTGTAAAAAAATACGCTACTCCCATCTGGGTTTCGACTACAGATATCGGCAGCCTATGAGGTCGGTGGCGGCACGATCCTCTCGTCCGCTTCAGCGGATGATGGTCCCTGATTGGCTGCATGGATTCCTGAAACTCGGCGATCCGGACTTGGCTTCAGCGGTGTTTCCGGCCTATGCCGAGAACAATGCTGGTCTGTTTGTGTGTATCGGATGTTGGGAGCGTTATCGGATGTGCGTTGTATAGATCGTGTAGACCGCGTTGACGTGTTCGTTCTTAGTGTCCTTTTTCTTTATCTTTTTTGTTAAAATAATGGCTCTCGTGTTTTTACATACGTTACAACATACAAAGTTCATATATCTCCCCACGTGATATACTATTCGGCAGCGATGGGGACTGGGGCGGGATCGACATCTCGCGCGCGCTATTCTGTCCTATCCCAGTTGATACTGATGCCTACAACAGCTTAAGCATTGGGGCAATTTAGCCCTACTGGGGGCCCCATTTCTATCGGCAGTGGGTTTGTTACATATCAGACTCGAATACGACAAAGCTCTTTATGGAACAAAAAAGAGTCAAGCGATGATCTTAGGCTTGTTTTGACACCCTAGTGGTCTCAGTAACAAACTAGGAAAATATTAGTAACAAATGAACTGACAGCCCCTGATCAGATACAAAATTTAAAGACTTGGAAAAGCCTCACCGTACTTTGCGAACCGTTTCGGGGACTGGAGTGGAGTCCGTTAATTCCCGGCATTGATGCCGACTGTATTTCGCAAAAGCAGAGAAAGCCACCTGCCACTTCAATACACCGTGTTTAATAGTTGTCAAGCCACCAAGAACTAATTTTCCCCCCGGGGTTGTAGAAATCCTTTTAGGCAGGATAAAGAGACATAGTCACTCCGTACTCCGGAGTACAGCATATGCAGCTAATTAGGCACACGCTGTACATTGTACACGATAGTTAAATATTCCAGTGGCTTACCTGAGTAGTACACACACGTACACATACCGAGGTGAAACAAAGTGGAAGGTCAAGCGAACTTCCTTTTACGTCGTAGCTTGGATTCATTCTCGCCCCTTGGCGGGATCTGGGTTCGCAGAATAATAATAATAGTGTCACAAAATAGGTATAAAATCTCAGCATAATATATGTTGTAGCGTACACGAAGTTCAGATCAGGTGGTCATTTCAATATTTCTGCAGAACCCTGGTCGAAGCCTTCCAGGTCCACAATCGAAGCGGGAGAAGCTCTTGCGAAGGGGTGGAGAAGGAGGGGCAGGGATGTTGGGTCCGGAATACAGATTATCTCCGGCAAATATACGGAGTACGATGTACCGTTTACAGTATGTTTGTAGTTTACAGTCTATTGTTTTGGTGAGGAGTAGAGTTTATGTATCTAGATAGTAATATTATGTTGAGTATATCCCGAGGTCCAATCTCAATGTGATGAACCACGTACTCCGTAGTCACACGAGACTCGAATGGCGCGCAGGATCTGAAACTTTGGGTCATATTACTCGGCGAGATCTCTGCTTAATAATAGAATAAGAAATCTGCATTGCAAAAGTACGCGAACCGCAGCCTACCTACCTATGTCAGACCACGGAAGTAGTCACGTCCAATAAGGGGGACCCCCTGAATGCCAATTTTGTCTAGAGCATTCCTGTGTGGCTGAACCTAGGAGAAACACTCTTAAGGAGTACTTCCGTTACGGAGTACATATGTACACCGTAGTTCTCCTCTTATTTTCCTATATTGGAGCACCTAGTCAGCAATAGTATTAGTGTCCCACTGAGATAATTAGACTTATACCATTGATACCCCAATACGCTTAGTTTTCTTTTTTTTTTCTGGTAGACTAGTTCATGTCATGTTTCACTTCGAGTCAACTCATGAAGCTAAGTGCGGAAACCACTGCGGAAACCAGTGCGGAACAGCAGGCGGTTACGGCGCATCCACTAAAGTATGCAGGGCAACAACGCATAGCCGTTACAGAAGCCTCCGGTCGGGAAATCCTAGTCTTTCCTCCCCAACAAGAGAGCTAAGAACGCATGTCCCCTCTTCTGGAGATGTGCCATGTACATCCGGGCTGCATGCAGGAGCCAAATCCAGCCTGCAGGCTGGGCCAGTTAAGGATGCATGGTGAGGTCTTGTATCGAGCTCAATAGAGCTCATCTTCCCTCGGGCCTCCGGCGGATGACGTGCTTGAAAAGATCAGTGCAGAGTGGGAGAGGTCTTATGTCGGCTGAGATCTTATCTATCTACATACAATATACAGCATAGTATCCTATACTAATTCAAGCTTCGTACGGAGTATAGAGTAACCCGTAGAGAGAGGGTTGAATACATATCAGATGTCACTTGCGGGGCCTGTCAGCC